GTAGTTTTCAATTGCCATCGCAGGGAAGTTCTGCCCAGTCTGCCACAAGGAGTAAGCCCAAAATAGTTCCATGGAAATGGTGGCAAGAGCCAGTCTTCATTTGTGTGGTTTTGCACGAAAACCACATAAGATAGAGGAAAACTGGTTTGTGTAGAATGCTTCCCATGTTCGTTAGTTTGTAACTCCCGAATGCTGTTTGTATAGGTGAAATGGAACTAGAACAAGCCGTGGGTCCATGGTGACCGGTGTTCGTGAGAGTTCCTGGCCGAAATCAGTTCCAGGCGACCAAGTCCCGCTGCCAATGGATTTCCTGGGGCCCGGTCAGCGCTGCAGTACTTTAATAGCGCGACCTGACCCCAACTATTACGTCACAGCTGGTAGGAAGCCGTCACTTCCTCCCAGCTAACAGAGTGCGTGTGGGAGGAGACCGCCGGGGAGGAGAGGAGAGAGTGAGAGTGGGAGCTCTGACTCCCAACAGCATGAGGCAACCACTGGACCCCAGGGAAATCACCCTCCTGCACGTAAAAGTAGGAAACAGGAGGGTGACTAAATATTTTTTTTTACAGTTTGTGTGTGAGAGAGAGAATGTCTGTATCAGTATATCTGTGTGTGTGTCTATGTGTCTGTATGTGTGTCTGTATGTCTGCATGTGTATCTCTTTGTCTGCATGGGTATCTGAATGTTTGTCATTAAGTGTCATATGTCTGTGTATCTGCTTGCGTGTCTATATGTGTATCTGTCTGTAGTATGTGTCTGTATGTGTATCTGTTTGTCTGCATATGTGTCTGTATATGTATGTCTCTGTGTATCTGTTCTCTATGTGGATCTGTTTGTCTGCATGTGTGTCAGTGTGTGCCCCTATGTATCTGTTTGTGTGTCACTCTTTATATCTGTATGAGTATCATTCTGTGTGTGGCAAACCTAGCCACTTAAGACTGTATTTACATTTATGTGATATTGTTGCTTTAAGACTGCCTGAAATGTCCATGTTCCCTATTCTGTGTTTTATGTGAATGAGAGCATTCGTATGCTGGCGGCACATAAGCCGCCAGCATTCATATAGTAGTTTCACGAACAGTGAATTTCAACACTGTTCGTGAAACGAACAAAGTACTGAATGGGAGACCACATACAGGGGGTCGTGTGGCTCCCATTACGGATGGCAACAATGTATCTCTCTGCAGTTAATAGGTTTTCAGAGTGGCCGCCGTTCGGATACCGACCTATCTGCCGAACGGTACAATGGCACGAATAAAATAGAAGTTATGGATTTTTAAGTAAAAAGCCAGTTCTGCTGTACGAAGGGATAATCCACTTGACAGAATATTCTTATGGGAGTATCCCTCTCGTACAGCGGTGCATGGTGGGAGAAATGTTCTGTATGTTAAGTTCCCCATGTAGTCTCCTACTGTACAACCCCTGTAAAGTCAGTAAGGAAACCCCTTGCATGGGGAACCACATAAATACTGGAGCTTGTGAATAAAATCTCAGTTGACTCCCAGCCTATCTGTCATCTAGTTCTTGGGAAGGAAGGATCCTTCTAACGCTACCGGGATTATTGTATGCTGTTCTTGCTTTACTGGAATATTGTATGTTTTTCCTGTGTCTGTGTATCTGTAGAAGTGTCATTCTGTGTGTCTGTGTATTAGCATGTGTGTCCATATATGTATCTGTAGGCATTATACAAATGGAGGGCGGGGGAAGATGCATGGGGGGCCCCAGGGCACTGTTACGCCTCTGCTTATATCCCATATTATTAAGGTCACGACAGTGATTCCTGAAAGAAAAAAGGAAAGGGTAGATGGGGCTTCAGCTTAGCAATTAAAACAGCGAACTTTCGATTTGTCTGTCACCAGCTGAGGTGAATATTTTTTTTGTGCCTTTAAATTTATACCCCTGTGGTTACCGCGCAGGGAGCTCGTGCCACAATTAACCAATCAGGATCCCTACCTGAGCGAGAGCTTCCCACCGAAACAAGCCACACGCGCCCTGCACCTGACACCTGGCTCGCGCTACCTGCGAACACTCACCTGATACTTACTTACAAACCCCCACTCCATCAAACCCCATGAGGCTGCTCCTTATAAGTCCGCCCGCCATTAGAAAGCCTGCAGGGACAGGCTACATCACAGTAGTTGTTCTGGTGATTATATTGTCCCTTTCAATAAATACCAAACTTTTCTTTATGTGTGATTATTTTTATTAGTAATGTTTTACGTACCCTTTCCATAACACATTAAATGCATAGATGTTTTTATTGGGGTATATTTACCAAACAGTGATTTTTTTATATATTTTTTTGTATTTGGGCAGTAAAGTGTCCTTTTAAAAGCATGCATGTTTTCATTTGGGGTAAATACCAAACAGTTATTTGTATATTTTTGTATTTGAGTAGTGGAGTTTCCATTTGATCCCAGAATCAAAATTGATTACATAAGCTGGGCTATTCACTAAATGTGAAATATTGGGAACGGAACAAAGGATTTTAGCCAAGCTTCCAAACTTGATATGTTTTTTTTTCCAGCCAAGCTATTTTAACGTTATATTTTAAATACTCTGCTTACTTTGTGGTTTAGGGGACAACAATGCAAAAAGTGTTGCTTTCCTTGTGCCAAGATGGAGCGGCTATTAGCCATGTGACCCACCCACCCTGCTGACAATATAACAGGACTGTGCTGGATACATTATTTCCTGTGTAAACGTGTATTGTATTTTACTGCCAGTGCACACACACTAACAACACTGCTGTTTTAATAAAATAAAATAAAAAATAGAAATAAATACATTTTAAAAATGCTGTATGTTGTGGAAATGAGATATTAACATAATTTTTAGCTAGTAAAATGTCTATTTACCTTATATAGTTCTCAATCAGCATTTATCATTTTATATGTGATTTACTTAAAATGGCCGCTGGGGAGCTTCCCCTCTAACATCGACTAACTACCTTGTGTAACAAGATGACGCTGGAATCTGGGGGAGACCCTCATGAAACCAGTGACATCAACCCTTGTAGGCAGAACATTAGAAGAACCACTTAACACCTAACCAATTAATGATGTATTATTTCATGTTATCTCTGACAATGCATATGATGTAATTTTGCTTTATAAGGGACTTGCCATCCCCTGTGAATAAATATTTCTCAAGTTTTTCATCAACCTGAAACTTGTGTCTGGTGTGAATTACTTCAGGGAGTGTGCACGCACTGTTTCTTAATTTGGCCAGGGGCAGATACACAAAACAATCAATTGATTGAAATGATTTCCACTTCACTGTATTATGAAGACTAGGGTCCAATATCATTTATCCGTATTGACTGCAGCCCTGATATTCCTGTTATCACATGATTAAATTAGAGCTGGGACCAAACACATGATTACACTGTATCTATAGTATGTATAATATTGTTATATGAAGTTATCCTATGCCATTATTGTTGTGACACGCTGCTAATGGCTGTACAGGGGAGACACTGCTAATAACTGTACAGGGAGACACTGCTAATAACTGTACAGGGGAGACACTGCTACTGACTGTATAGGGTAGTCACTGCTACTGACTGTTCAGTGAGACACTGTTAATGGCTGTATAGGGGAGTCAGTCACTGCTAATGGCTGTATAGGGGAGACACTGTTAATGGCTGTACAGGGAGAAACTGCTAATGGCTGTACAGGGAGAAACTGCTAATGGCTGTACAGGGGAGACACTGCTAATGGCTGTATAGGGGAGTCAGACACTGCTAATGGCTGTACAGGGAGACACTGCTAATGGCTGTACAGGGGAGACATTGCTAATGGCTGTACAGGGGAGACACTGCTAATGGCTGTACAGGGGAGACATTGCTAATGGCTGTACAGGGGAGACACTGC